TAGAAAAACTTTATTTTACATCGTAATAATATTTCACAATATTATTTTTTTTCCCTGTATTTTTTAGCAAATAAATGCAGTCTTGATGAGCAGAAGAAACTCCTGTAAAAACATTAAAACTCGTTCTGATCCCAAACTTTTGAACGGTAGTGTATATAATTATATATTAAATATAAATTATTCAATCATAAGTACAGTAAAACTTATCTAATTCTTAGTTGCTATAATATAATTTAATATAATATAATGTAATATAATATGATATAATACAATACAATATTTGAGACAGCACTGAAAACGTAGAATTTTTTTTTTAAATAAAGATTTATATACCCAATTAATATATTTATATACCCAATCTAAATGATTCAAACCATTATGCATACCAACCTTTAATGGAAAATGGAAAAATATAACATAATATAATATAATATTTGAGACTACACTAAAAAATGTGGGATTTTTTAAATTTCAATAAATATTTATTTATCATATTTAATCATATTTTTTTAAAGATTTAAAAATGTAAATAATAATAATAATAAAAATAACAATTACAAATTCAAATGATAAATTACTCAAAGTATGCTGATAACAATTTGTAAAGAAAAAAGTCACATGAAATAAATACTTTATAATATAATATGAGACCACTTTATTGAAAAGGATTTATTTATCCTATTAAACATATTCATTAAAAACAAAACCTAATTGTTAATTACTAAGATTATTATACTGATAACAATCTGAAAAAAGTTAAATGCAAAAAATGCAATATAATAAATTATAATATAAGTCTGAGAACACACTGAAAATGTGTGAGACACACTGTAAGATATAATTATTTAAACACTTAAATGTATTTATTTATGCTATTAAATTTTATTTATTTGAAAATTTAATTAAATTGAATTTATTTATTTATTTTTAAATAAATTGTTAGTCCAATTTTAAATTGCATCGATTGATTACACTTTATCAGCGTTATCGGCCATCGGCAAGCACTCTGTTATCAGCAGAAAACAGCAGCGCTGTGGTACCTGGACAGAGCGGGTTGCAGGCCAGTTTCTGGATGGCTTGACCCTCACAGATGGCTCCTCCGTTCAGAGGCGCGGGATTGGTGCAGCTGCGCGTCCTCTTCTGATAGCCCCTCCCACAGCGACTGCTGCACACCGACCACTCCGTCCACGTCGACCAGCCGCCGTTCACTGCAGCGGGAAACACAGCCACTCAGTCACTCGCTCGCTCATTACGTGTGTGTCTGTGACGGAGAGCCGAGGGAAAACACACACTATCGCTCAGACTCATGTACAGCAGCGCTGACTCCTCTCTCAGTCAATCAGTGAGAAGACGTGATCGTAGCTGTGATAGCCAACGAGTCTCCGTGATGAGCTCAAGCAGAACCTGAAACAACACTTAGAGCAATAATTCACCCCAAAATAAACGTCCCGCCAGGCTTGACTTGACAGGTTTCTTCAGTGGAACACGACAGGAGATGATTAGCAGGATATAATGAAGCCGTATGAACAAATCAAAACACAAGTGACATTTGAAAGACGGAATACGCTTGAGTGCAAATCAGATTTTTATGTGATTTTTCTAAATCATTTTAAAAGAAGCAGTTACTTTTTAATATAATTAAACAACATGATGTGCAAACTTGTTTCCGCCACAGAAAAAATTAAATAAAGTAATTGCAAATGTATTCTCACAATCTTGAGTCTATATCTCACAATTTATTTTTTCCCTCACAATCGTGTTTATATCTCACCATTCAGATTTTTTTCCACAATCGTGAGTTTGTCACAATTGACTTTTTTCACACAATTGTGAGTTTATATCTCACAATTAATTTTTGTCCTCACAATCGTTTTTTTTTTTAATTAACTATTACTTTGAGGCATTTGCTCCCCATTCTTCTGTTGCGGTCCGGTTCTAATCAGAACACGTCTGTCTGTCCGTCTGAACTTCCTCTGACACACGTGTGTGTGATGGAGCTGCTCTGGAGGATGGATTGTGGTTCATTTCTCCTGCAGATGAGCTGAGATCAAAGCTCTCGTCCTCCCAGACTGCGTTCAGGCCTGAATGAGCAGGTGAGGGATTGTGGCCTTTTGTCTCCAGAAATCCATCACAGATTTGTGCCCCTTTTTTTACGGTCTCCCTTAGATTCAGCCGAACCACACGTGGAGAGCGTTTATTGTCTTTCGTCTCGGGACAGCAAGTCAGAAGTGTGTGGTGAAAATGGACAGAAAGAGCTCAGAGTAAAGCAGTGTGTTAATCGGTGAGTGAGAGTGGTTTAGTATATCAGCAGTGAGCGACGGGAGGTGAAACCCGAGCCCGATGACATCATCAGCGCCTCCATGCCTACATCATCCGAGAGATGCTCGAGTCGCCAAAGCACTGACAAACTGCCACATACATTCACTTCCCCTCACCTACACATCCTTCTTCCACACAATACAAATAGTCCAACCGTCCATCCATTCATTCATCCATCCATCCAACCAACCATTTATCCATCAATCCATCCATCCATCCATCTGTCCATCTATCTATCCATCCATCCATCTATCCTACCATTTATCCATCAATCCATCTGTCCGTCTATCCATCCATCCATCCATCCAACCACTTATCCACAAATCCATCCATCCGTCCATCCATCCACCCAACCAACCTTTTAAAGAATTAATCACACCAACATTTAAAGTTTGCTTTCAAAAACTGTGAACTGTGTTTTCTAGTGAATAATTATTTATATGAATTTCTTTGAATTTTACTTCCTTACATTCAAATTCAAAATGCAATTCTGCATCAGTTTGCCACCTCAATTCCCATTAGGAGCTGAACTGGAACTGAAGTCATTCCTCAATTCAGTTCTGACTGGTGCACAATAGGAGTGTGAGTAAATAATGAAGTGTTTTCATTTCTATCTGAGCTGTTCATTTAAAGCGGCGTCCAGTCACACTCGAGTAGCCCATCCCATTACCCTCTAAACCAATGACAGAGCTCAACCTTACGGCACGAACCGGAGAGCACTTATAATTACATCAGCTTCACGACGTGCAAGAGAAGTCAATTTATTACAGCTCCGTCTATCCATCCATCCATTAATCCATCTATCCATCCATCCATCCATCCATCTATCCTACCATTTATCCATCAATCCATCCATCCATCCATCTGTCCATCTATCTATCCATCCATCCATCTATCCTACCATTTATCCATCAATCCATCCGTCCGTCTATCCATCCATCCATCCATCCATCCAACCATTTATCCACAAATCCATCCATCAATCCATCTATCTACCCATCTATGTATCCATCAGTCTGTCCATCCATTCATCCATCCATCCATCCATCAATAAATCTATCTACCCATCTATATCCATCCATCCATCAATCCGTCCATCCATCCATCCATCCATCCACCCAACCAACCTTTTAAAGAAGAATTAATCACACCAACATTTAAAGTTTGCTTTCAAAAACTGTGAACTGTGTTTTCTAGTGAAGAATTATTTATATGAATTTCTTTGAATTCTACTTCCTTACATTCAAATTCAAAATGCAATTCTGCATCAGTTTGCCACCTCAATTCCCATTAGGAGCTGAACTGGAACTGAAGTCATTCCTCAATTCAGTTCTGACTGGTGCACAATAGGAGTGTGAGTAAATAATGAAGTGTTTTCATTTCTATCTGAGCTGTTCATTTAAAGCGGCGTCCAGTCACACTCGAGTAGCCCATCCCATTACCCTCTAAACCAATGACAGAGCTCAACCTTACGGCACGAACCGGAGAGCACTTATAATTACATCAGCTTCACGACGTGCAAGAGAAGTCAATTTATTACAGCACGGGAGAGGGAAACATCTGTTTTCCAGATCTGGGATTGTATCTGTAGGGAAAACAGTAAGCGATCCCAGCAGGTGGGCTGTTTTCACTTGTTGAAGAGCTTCTAAAAGACTCGTCCGCGCTTTATCGCGGGTGCCGAGGTGCGATTTCACAAACCGTCAGCCTCGTGAAAGCCTTGCGTTTGCGTTCGGGGGGGGGGAATTTACACCAAGTTATTCTTTCAACACTCAAAGCGGTGGCGGGTTAAAACGCTTCCAACTTGTCAGCGCGGCTTTCTGTTCTAAAGAGGAACATTTTCCAGCTCCAGGGAGTTTCACGGCAAGATCCGACCAAAAGAAACTTCAGAGGAGACGGACTGCAGCGCGATGAAGGAAACGCTACCAGAACAGATGGTCAAAGTTTTGCATTAGTTTCAAACGTGGACTTTGCCTTTGTGCTATCAAAGCTACACAAAGGTGATCAGGATTTCAAGGTGAAACACTGAAACCAGTTTCAGTGCACTACAAACTTCTCCGAAATCTTAGCAAATAATGAAATGCAAACGAACAAATAAAAATAAATAAACAAACACCTAGCAACCACCTAAAACACCCAATAAATAAATAAAAATAAATAAAAGAAGAAAAAAATAAAAACATAAAAATGTAAAAACAATAAATAAATAAATTACCTGAAATAACTCAAAACCCCCTTTAAAAAAACAACAATAAATAAATATAAATTAAAAAATACAAATAATAAATAAACAACTAGCAACCACTTGAAACTAGATGACACATAGCAATGGACTATAAACCACTCCAAAAACCTTAGCAAATAGAAAAAACACAATTAAACAAACACAAAACACCTAAAACCACCTTATAAATAAATAAAACAACCACATAACAATACACTACAAACCACTCTAAAAAATATAAAAATAATAAATTAATCAATAAAATAAAATAAAGAATAAAATTAAAATGACTAAATAAACAAAAACTTTGCAACCACATAGCAATGCACTACAAACCACTCCAAAAACCTTAGCAAAATAAAATATAAATAAATAATAAATGTATTAATTAATTAAAATAAAATAAAATAAAATAAATACCGTATTGGTCCGAATATAAGACGACCCTGATAATAAGACGACCCCCCTTTTTCCAGATGTACCTTTTGGATTAAAATGACTAAATAAAAACCTTGCAACCACAGGGCAATGCACAACAAATCACTCCAAAAACCTTAGCAAAATAAAATAAAAATAAATAAAAATAAAATAAATAATAAAATTTAAATTAATGAAAAAGACCCACATTTTCTTTATAAAACACTGAAGTCTACTTTTTCCGATCAAGAGTGAACATACTGACTTGTCTGAGATCAAACTGAACTGAAAATCAAATACTAAACACGTTAAATAATCTCATGTACTTGTGGTTCACACACAGATAAGCACTGAGACTGACCGTAGACGATGACGGTGGCCGTCGTGCTGCGGCGTTTGGCCACGATGTTCTTGGCGACGCAGGTGTAGTTGGCGGTGTCGGACAGACGGGCCTGTTTGATGATCAGGTTGTGGTCGATGGTGATGTAGAAGTTCCTGTCGTCGGCGGGGTCGATGATCTCCTCGTTCTTCAGCCACTCCACCTGCAAACACACAAACAGACGTTCATCCCATCTCCATCCATAAATCACACACTTACATAGGGCTGCACGATAAATCGCAATCGTGATTAGGCAGAAGCTGCGATATTCATGCGTGCATCTCGTCAGTGAAGCACGGTTCTGTGATCAGTAGTAAATCTCCATCCGAAGGCCAGAGAAACTCCAAATACGCCCCGCAGAAGAAATCAAGGAAATGCCTATAGCGGTTGCTGAATAAACTGAAGATTTAACTGCTTTCATTCATTCAACGTGACTAATAAACACACGACTACGACCATATATGGTTTATCTGAGTTCGTCTTATTATAATTATTATTATAATGAAGTATATCTATAATGCAATGCTAATCGACATAGCCTTTATCACTGCTTAAATACTATGAAATATGTTGTGTGCCTTATTCTGTGTAAGAAGCCACATCATCTCACAGAAGGATTTATTTCAAACACTCGACTGACGTTATGAAGCGAGTTTGGAGTAAAAACATGTTATTAAATGTGGTGTTTTCACGTGCTTTCTGATGGAGCAGCATTTACTACACAGAGCCATCATAATCAACAAACAGCTATAATAAACAAACAGCTGTCATAATCGCAGAATGATTTCTTCGCTATTTTTGCTATTTTTTTTGCACAGCTTGTCAGTGAACTACAGCTCTGTGTAGTAAATGCTGCTCCATTTGAAAGCATGTGATGGAGATTTACTACTGATCACAGAACCGGCTTTACTGACAAAATGCACATGACTATCGCATTCGATTAATCGTGCAGCCCTACATTTACAGGCAGCTTTCCGCTTATTACGCTTCAATAAAGTCAGAAGTGTTGATGTGTGTGCAAAAGCTCCATAAAGCTTCAATATCCATCATGTTATTCCCCCTGAACCATCACTCAGACGCGATGGGAAGTAAAAAACGTACTTCAGTAAGTGCTTTAATGATCTTTGACCTTTATTACGAGCTTCCTGTTTCCAAATGGCCTCTGTATTGAACGTGAGGTCACATGCGCAGAGAAAGTGACTGTTTTAGAGCTGCTTGACTGTAAATCATGCAGATCTTCCTTCAGTTTGGCAGCAGATGATCTGATGCTCTGCTTTCACTGCTCTCAGGAGAGCCATCGCACAGACCTGAGATCAGCAGAGGAACAAAGACGACCGACCAATCATGAGGGACTCTCTTCATACCAGACACCTAGCAACCAGCCAAAACACCCTAGCAACCACATGGAAATGCACTACACAGAACTCCAAAAACCCTAGCAAGCAAGCAAATGAACAAACGAATTAATGAATGAAATGTTTTTTAATTAATTAATTTTATTTTATTTTATTTTTTTTGTTCTTTTTGTTCCTTTTTTCTTCTTGTGCAATGAAATAATATTTTGTACAAAACAAAATATTATGTAACTCGTAAACCATGTACATGCTTTGCAAAAAATAGAAGAAAAAAGTAATAAATAAAATACAATACAGATAAATAAATATTAATAAATAAAAAATACAAGATTTATAAATTGTTATAATAAATAAATAAATAAATAGAAACCACCTAAAACACCCTAGAAAACACATCAAGAGACTACAAACCACTCCAAAATCCTTAGTAGGGCTGCATGACATATCGAAATTATCGAAATATCGCAAATTCAAATATCACGATATGCATATCGCAATGGCATTCGATATCGGAATTATTTTAAAAATAGGCAACTTAAATCAAAACGTTGCAAAAGGTCAAAGTTTTAGAAAAATAGAAGAAAAAAGTAATAAATAAAATACAAGTACAGATAAATAAATATTAATAAATAAAAAATACAAGATTTATAAATTGTTATAATAAATAAATAAATAAATAGAAACCACCTAAAACACCCTAGAAAACACATCAATAGACTACAAACCACTCCAAAATCCTTAGTAGGGCTGCATGACATATCGAAATTATCGAAATATCGCAAATTCAAATATCACGATATGCATATCGCAATGGCATTCGATATCGGAATTATTTTAATAATAGGCAACTTAAATCAAAACGTTGCAAAAGGTCAAAGTTTTAGGTCGACGCATATAGCATAGTGCTGTCAAACGATTAATCATGATTAATCGCATCCAAAATAAAAGTTTTGTAATATATAAACATAACATATTTTTCTTCAATATCGCACAGCCCTAATCCTTAGCAAATAAAACAAAATACAAATAAATAAATAATAATTTAAAAAAATTATAATTACATAAAATAAACACAAACCATTCCAAAATTGTAGCAAATAAAAAACATATTTAAATCTAAACAAATACTAAATAAATAAAATAAATGAACAAAAAAAATAAATGTATAAAGATATAAAATAAATAAAAGATGCAAATAAACAAATGAATAAATCACAAAAATGAATAAATATATACAATAAACAAACATCTGGCAACCACATAGTAATGCACTACAAACTACATCCAAGAGCCTTAGAAACAACTGCAGCATTGTGTCAGTGATTTCAGCAAAGACAAACAACACCCACGTTTCTTTATCCAATCAAATGTGAAAATCCTGACTGTCTGAGGTCAGACTGAACTGAAAATCAAATGCAAACACCTCAAATAAGCTCATCTAGAGACAATAAGAGCGACTCTGTACTTGCGGTTTAACACAGATAAAGACTTCACCAGCAGAAAATAAAGTGTAAAGATCTGAATTCATTTTGGTGCTGATTTTGTGTAGAAATCGGAGATGTTTGCAGAGAGTCTTACTGGAGCTGAAATCCTCATCAAATAAGCAGAAATACATAATAAACAACAGAGACACACTGACGGGCGAAGGAGAATTAAGACGCAGAATGATGAATTATTTCTCATAATTTGATTTATGCTGCCTCTAAAAATAACTTGATGGCTTCCTGCTCTCATTAAAGGACTCGTCTGCTGATAAAAACTAAGTATTGCATATGATGTGCAATTTTCGTTTTTATGGTCTTCCATTACGGTTTATTAATATTTAATGAGCGGGCCGTGTGCGTGCGCGGCTGAGGGTCGAGCGGTCAGACGCTCAGATATCTACAGTAATAATCCCTCTGATATCAGCGGAGCGATCCGTTCCCGATCCAAACCCAAGCGACAAACGCAGAAGCACCGCGAGACGCACCGTGAATGCGACTCAATTGAGTTGATGTGTCTTTATCATCAATCCTGTGATGTAATCAGAGAAATGCTGCCATTGAGAGGCGCAGAAGACAAAAAATCAATGCGGATTACCCACAAATCCACTGGGCTCTCAGCCTGCCAAGGTGATTATATGTGGCCCTCAAATTACTAAAGCAAGCAGGCCAACAAAAGCCCAGCGGTGGCTCCGTGTGTGTTTATGGCAGATGCTGGAGACGATGTTCGTTCAGTTTGGCCCCTGAGGGACGCGAGAGTCTGTTCAGTCCAGAGAGACGCACATCCACTTATTACTGTATTAAACTAATGAGTGAATCTCAGGAAAACCTGTAAAAATCACACTGAAATCAAGAGAAAACAACTTAGAATTGTGGATAATGAAGTTTCTTTGGCTTATGATATTTATTCATGGAAATTAAAAACATTTTCCTTCAAATTTGTGAACTTTCTATAATGAACTTTCTATAATAATAATAATAATAATAATAACGCATAATTTAAATCTTAAATAATAATAATAATAATGTATTTATTGTTAATAGGGATGTAACGGTATGAAAATTTCATATCACGGTTATAGTGACCAAAGTTATCACGATTATCAATATTATCACGGTTTTGTTAAATTTAGATGAAAATGTTCAAAAAGAACTGATACACACACTGAAAACATTTCAATAAGTTTTATATTTGAAAATCAACAAACAACAAATACAATTAGCAGCTATATGCACTTTTTTAGCATAAAAATTAAATTAACATTAACATGAAGCCCTAATAATAATAATAATAATAATAATAAATCACTT